AGCGATCTTCTCTTTCCATATATCGCCTTTTTTCTTCCTTGCTTTTTTATTTTTTACCCTCCAAATTTTGGATACAAGTTCAGGTTTTTGGTTCTCCCAAGATTCTGAATTTGGATGCTGTGGTGCGATTGATTCGCTGGGAATAACATGGGGGAGGTGGTGACGAGTGGAGACAAGTCAGTGAGGGTGGTGAGGGAAGAGAGTGAGAGTGGGAACAGCATGGGGTTGATGAGGTGGGAGAAGTTCTTGCCCAAGATGATTTTGAGAGTGCTTTTGGTTGAAGCTGATGACTCCACCAGACAGATTATAGCCGCGCTTCTTAGAAAATGCAGCTACAAAGGTAACACAACTACCTCCAACCTTGTTTTCGTTCTTATCAAGTCTTGTTTTGTTAATTGTGTTTGATTTTTTTTTTTTTATTATTCATTTCGCTGACCTGGATATGGGAACTTGCTTGCTTCTTTTATGCTCAAGATTGTAATTTCCATTTTTTTTTAAAAAAATTACTTTTTGCAATTTTGCATTATGTTAGTCTCTGGTCAATTTCCTCTTTTATACGGTTTCCTGCTACGAGTTGGGTTGCTTCCTGTGATATAAGCATGTAGGTTAGGGTGGATTGTTCTGCTTTTTCCTCTTTCACCCGATTTTGAGGGATGACACCGTGAGTTTGATTGATTCTAGGCACTAGCTTCTTTCTCAATGAAAAGGGTGGAAAAGAGCAAGAAGTTATTAGTAAAGCAGAGTCTTTGGACTGTCAATTTGAGAAAGGATTGACATACGAGTGAAGTCTCAAAGGTTATGAAATAGGAAAAAAAATTGTGCACGAAACACAGGCGTTTTGCTTATTTTATGTTTTTTAATAAAAAAAAAATCTTTTTTAAAAAAATTATCTATTTTCTTACAGGTTATGTGATGGGGATGTGGGTTCAATGAAAGTCTATGGAACTAATGGCTCCTTTCAACTTGCTTTTAAGAGTCTTGGCAGTTTGGAAACTACCGGCTTTAGCTATAAACATGATACAATTATTTTCAGTTGTCTAAATATTTTTCATTATCAACCTGAACCTTTGTAACGTGAGAAAAGTAGTACTTAACTGATTACATGCCCTTAGAACTAAAAAATAACTTTGTTCATCTGCTTTGAGCAGTGGCTGCTGTTTCGGATGGCTTGAAGGCGTGGGAATTACTCAAGGGAAGACCGCACGGTGTTGATCTAATACTGACAGAAGTGGATTTGCCGTCCATATCTGGCTATGCTCTTCTCACATTAATTATGGAGCATGATATTTGCAAAAACATCCCTGTTATAAGTATGATATCCAAGATACATGTTTTAGCTGCTACTGAATTTTCCAACTTTGTTAGTAGATGAAGTAATCCATTTGCATTTTTTTAATGCTTTTCCAGTGATGTCTTCCCAAGATTCAATTAGCACGGTATACAAATGCATGCTGAGAGGTGCTGCTGATTATCTTGTTAAGCCCATTAGAAAAAATGAACTGAGGAATTTGTGGCAACATGTTTGGAGAAGACAATCAGTAAGACTTCTGCTCACTCATTTTTCAGTTATTTTCCCTTTTTCTCTTAAATACTCAGATTTTATTGACAACTGATCTAAATTTTAATTTATAATTTATTTCCTCTATCAGTCAACCACTGGCATAAATGGTCCTCAAGACGAGAGTGTTGCACAGCAGAAGGTTGAAGCCACTGCTGAAAATAATGCTGCTAGTAATCGTTCAAGTGGTGATGCTGCTTGCATTCAGAGAAATAAGGAATTAATTGAGAAAGGAAGTGATGCACAGGTTAGTCTCCCAGACCTAGAATTTTTTATTTTTATTTTTTTATTTATATTTTTCAGTTATTTGTAGAAATTTGTGAAGGACAAAGAACATACACAGTCAAGTACATTTGTTATGTCCAGTTTTCACTCTTTTTCATGCTAATCTCTGGTTAGCTTGGAAATTCTATCATATCTGTCTGAAATTGCCCACCAGTTATTTTTATGTTAATCTTCTGTTCAACTTCTTTGGAATACTGCTGAATCTTACCTACCTTTTGGTATGACAGCAGGCATCCTCAATATATTTAGTCATTGTACTTCAAATACATTATGTTTTCCATTAGATATTTATGTATAAGCCTCTTGTAGTTAAAAGAAATATGCTTCCAGCTTGGGTTGGCTTGGTGAAATTTTCATAGAGTCTGCATGTTTGCTTTCTGTTGCAGAGCTCTTGTACAAAGCCTGACTTGGAAGCTGAGAGTGGTCCTGTCGATGACATGCAGGAATTTTCTCCGCTGAAAGGTGGGGATGAAGCATATCCAAGTGGGACAGAGACTCAAGAAGTTGAAACATGCATTCGTTTAGGCCAGACATTGATGATGCATGACAGTCGTGATGGAGGTAAGTTTCTACCACTTTACTGCATAATCCTTTGTTATGCACAGTTACTTGACTATGAAGAATATCAGAAATTTAACCTAACTTGTATTTTTTAGGATTAACTGTGGGTGTTAGCAAAAATGGTGAGGCAAGCACGACTAAGGACAAGGATGCTGATCCAGAGCATTTTGGGAATGCTAGCATCAGTGATGAGGCTCGTGACAATCACTATGTTCAAATTAACTCTTCCAAGGAAGCTATAGACTTGATTGGAACATTTCGTACTCATCCAAACTGTACCCTAAAGAATTCCACAGTTAATTGCACAGGCAAGTTTGACTTCTCTCCTCAATTGGATCTTTCTCTGAGAAGATCCCGTCCTAGCAGCTTTGAGAATGAACTCACTGAAGACAGGCACACCCTTATGCATTCTAATGCTTCAGCTTTCAAGCGGTAACTGCTAAAATCCCTAGTTATTATTATTTTAATTTTTTTGAAGTTGCTTGTAGTTATCATTAACTGGTAGAAATCTGTTGGTTGCTTGTATATGTCTGCATGCCTTCCTTATTTAATTAATTTACTATAAAGGAGTTCAACACCTTAAACAAACTGACAGGTGTAGAAATAACAAATCTCCTGCCTAAATTATGGAGTGGCAGGTTTTGGCTTTTGTTAATTACCTACTGAAATACATTAAAGATGGTGATTATAGAGTGATAATTTTGAGATATCTTAAAATTTTAAAACGATATAATTTTCAGAACTATAAAAGCATATTAAGTTTTGATAACTAAATATTACAGTGTGATTTGTTTCTTCTGTAGGGTATGGGGAAGAAGCTAATAAGTTTATAAATTTTGTCAAGTAACCTCAAAATTTCACTGCCCTGTTTAAGTTCTATATGCTTATCATTGAAATGGTTGCAGGTATACTAACAGGCATTTGCAAGCCTCGACGCCTGCTGTGTTAATTAACTTCTGTGATCAACAAAGAGAACAGAGAACAAATTGTGAGAAAAATATCTCTCATGTCGCCACTGGCTGCAACTCAGATAGTTCAACACCTAGTATGCAAAAATGTATCATGTCTCCAACTACAGTCCAATCAAAAGAATCTGAACTTGCAACCTCACAGTCCCAGCATGGGCATTCTCTTCCAATCCAAGTAAAGGGTGTAAGGTTCAATGATCTATGCACAGCCTATGGTTCTGTACTTCCTTCAGTGTTTCGTACACAGTCAGGTCCCCCGGCAATGCCGAGTCCAAGTTCAGTTGTGCTCCTTGAACCAAACTTTCATGTAAATGCATTTTATCAGTCAAATATGAAAGATAGTAGTTCAGAGCAGCTTTATGAGCCTTGTGGTCCAAATGGAAACAACACCCAAAACCACATAGTATACACACAGGAACACAAATCAGAACATGCAGAGGATCGAGGACATATCTCTCCTACAACTGATCAAAGTGTATCAAGTAGCTTCTGTAATGGAAATGCAAGCCATCTTAACAGCATCGGTTATGGAAGCAACTGTGGAAGTAGCAGCAATGTTGAACAAGTTACCACTGTCATGGCAGCTTCAGAGGCCAAGAATGAAGACCTCACAAACAATGGAAACTCTCATCGATCTATCCAAAGAGAAGCAGCTCTAAACAAATTCCGCTTGAAAAGGAAAGAGAGATGCTATGAGAAGAAGGTTCACCACTATAACAATTACATTGTATTATAGAATGATTATCATTGTTTCAAATAGAGGCTAACTTTTTCTTGTACTTTTTAATAGGTTCGCTATGAGAGCAGAAAGAAACTAGCGGAACAGCGCCCCAGAGTGAAAGGACAATTTGTTCGTCAAGTGAATCCTGATCCTCTTGTTGCAGAAAAAGATGGCAAAGAATATGATCATTTACAGATTTCTGACTCACTGGAGAGGAGAACATGAATTGTTAGTATATAGTTGCTTCAAAGTTTTGTTTTCCTAGAAGCACTTGATTTGTATATGCTTTCTAAAACCATTTTTCTCATTTGCCCTTTCTCTAAATCATGATATATAATATACCTAATGTATTATATCATTGTAATTTTATACAGTTTTATAGAGATCTATGTGTTCATTATTTATTTATTTATTAGTAAGTTGTTTACTTACAAGGATTCACTGATTGATAATTTATAATAGAGTAGCATTATAATTTTTTTTATAATGACTATTGGATAACTTTTTGAAAGAGTCCTCTAAAGTGTAACATGCACTCTAGAGAGTAAAGTGAAACTATCTTTAATTATATAAATGGATCAGATTTTTTAAGCTTATTAAAAATTGTCACCTAAATGTATTTATTTTTTAAAATATCATTAATGTACCATAACATTAAAAAAAAAATTATGCGCTCCATTGATCTTCATCAAGAATGAAATCTTGCTTCATTTAAGTTTTAGAATGTTCAAAAAAAAAAAAAAAAAAGAATCTAATGTAGAGAAAATACACGGATAAGAGAAAGTGAGAAACTTGATCAAAATAGAATTCAACAAAAAATACTTTTGTGGACATGTTGGATAGTTGAGTCAATGAAGATAATATTAAGAGTAGTCATGATTATTTTTCACTATTGTATGATTGAGTCTTGTAAGATTATGCGAAGTAACAATTGAATGTTAAGAAAAATGATAAATCTAAAAAATAATAATTAATCACGATAAAAATTTGCACTATTTATATAATTAAAGGTCGAGATTGTTGTATTTTATCTTCTAAAATGCATGTCCACTTTAAAGGAGCATTTCCCTAACTTTTTACATTTTGTTCAAAGCTCAACACATTTTTAAAAAATAAATAAATAAATCGGTTTACCATTTAGGTAGTTGCAGGTTTAGCAAACAATTGTTTTCTCTTAAGGGGGCATTTGAAATTAGTTCATTCAAAGAATTTTTTTTTAACAAAATATATGTTTGAAGATTTTAAAGAAAGTTAGATACGTTCTTGATTAAAAGAACAAAAAGCTTACTATTATTTTTTTCTTCTTCTCAATTTAGAACAGGTAGCTTTTTGATTTTTTTATAAGTAAAAGTTATATCATTAAAATAGTTTTTTTTTTCCAAAATTTATCCGAACACACTCTTTCAATGGA